GGGACCGGAGGGGCTCGCCTGAAGCGCGTGGTATGGATCGCGACAGGTGCCGACACCGGCGCGTTGTCCAGAAGGTGTGCGCATGCGCGGCTGCACGCGCGAAAATATGAATCTTTGGCGCCGCTTTGGTGGAGTGCACAGAGGATTCCTGATACGGCTACGACCTGCCAGCGTTCATACCGCGGCATCAATTACGCTGCGGCACGATCGTTAGCAACATGATGCTTCAATGTATTGGACGGTACAAGCTACATTACCCTTCCTTTACATAAAAACAATTGCGACTTTAAAGAAGCGGATTGCAAGTTGTTTAAGCGTAGAATTAGCTGCGACTTTCGGTTTGTCGGATGGTGAACATTTTAAATGAAATGCCTATTTCCTTGGTCACAAAGGCCGAACATTAGATATTTGAAAGGGATATCTAAAACTCGAAAGCAGTTTTTTTTTTCTATCTTATTTTATAATGGATAGTTATGTTTTAATACCCCAGGTTAACTTCTCTGTCTTCTTTTCTGCCCGTCTTCTTTTTCTTGACCTTATTCAGCTCGCTTCACTTGTCACTCATTCTTGTGTTCATTTAGGCGACGAACCACCAAAGCGACGGTCGGAAAGGGGTGAGAATCTTTTATTTCTTCATGGCTGCCACGACCATCCGACGACCACCCGACGTTCACTTGTAAGAAATGGCTTATAAGCCGTGACAATTTTTATCACACGTTTTAAAATGGAACTTAAGTCCAAAAACTGAGACAACGTGGGCTGAACAAGTAATGCTTTATAAGATTCAAAGAAAACAAGCAACTATTTCAATTTTCACATCATTTTGAGCAGAAAACATGAACACACGTAGATCAGGCAAGGAAAAAGTTGTAATTGTTTACAGCACGGCATTGCAATAATGGTTACAATGTGCAGCGCATACATGGTTGCAATATGCAGCGCATTATCCTCTTGAGGATAAACCATCTGAAACCTACACGCTCATACCAATACATTTAACCGAGAGCTGCTTTCTGACAACCAGGTAAGTCTCGCCTGAGCTGGGTATTCGAAGTGAAAGACCCATGGTTCCACAGGGGCCGTATCCGGTTCACGCGGACATACAGGGTGTTTTTGTTTTATTCTTTACAGAACTTTACATATTTTACAAAAAAAAATGATGTGGCAGATATATGGATGCCGTCTTTCATTATATACGTAGGGCTCGGTTGACAATGAACGGGTGAATAACTGTTGCAATGTTTAATAATTAACCAAAATTTGTTAGGTAACTTGTTTATTAACGGCTTAATTGGCCATGGTGCAATTGCAGTTTTAAAAGGAGTCATCATTAAAGGCAAACACAATTTCGACAATTCGCGAAAAAGCAACGATGTTCGCGAAATTTATCGTAAAAGTTTGCCTTTCTACCTCGGTAACAGCTTTTCTTCGTTTTTTTGTTTTTTTTGTTTTTTTTTTTTTTGTTTTGTTTTCAAGAACCGATATTTTATCCAACAATAGTTTACTTCTTACCTCAATCTTCCTAACCTTCCTTTCTTTCTTTTTTTTTATCACTAAGGTAATATTCATACTAGTTAGTTGAATCTCTTATGTGTATCCCTGTATATTTTTTGTTTATATCTTGCTGGAAAATAGTAATTTCAAAATTATTTATTATTTTAATGAGCATATCGTCCCCCATCTTCATAATACAATAGCGCTGAGACACTATTTTCTAAAAAATTGAGAGGAAGCCCGAGGCTACGGAACTGCAGCCAAAGCTACAAGCGCGAGAAACCCCGTGCTTTGAGCAATGCTCGCCTTGTGGAACAACTTTTCAAAGCAGCGACCTCGTGCCCTCGAGCTTGTAGCATTGGCTGCAGTTTCAGCTTAGGGGTCAACAAAGTATAGTTGGGTCTAAGATTTACCAGCAGGACGTAATATAGTCCGCTTCACCTTATGTTGTACAGCAGTGAAGGCAAGACGCGGAGCTCGGAGCGTTGGCAGCTGCCCTTTAGCACGAAAGCTTGTGCCGCCCAGATGTGCCATGTCATAGCCTCCTATATAGTGACAAAGCCTGGCAGATTGCCACGAGAAGCGGCCGCCGAAATGGACAAGGTGGAGCGGCAGATAACGGATGAGAGGAGAGCCAAATTTTGGGAGAGCCGCGTGACTGGCGCCCCGCTGCGGCGAGACGCCGCACCACACTTTTCCGAGCCAACAAGTGTGTTTCGAGTCCTCGCCGCTAAAAAAGCTGTGCGCTCACGTGCAGGTTCCCCGAGAAATGACTCTTTGATGCTCTGTGCTACCAGATCCTCGAGCTCCAAATCTGCAACCGGGCACTCAATGGCTCCGTTGTCGAACTGCCAGGCTTTGCGAGTATTAGAGGCGGCTATGTTCTCGCGCAGTCTTAAAAAGATTTTGCCGTAAAGAATCTCACAGAAAACAATTAAAGTATATTGTATTTGCTTTTAGTAATATCAGCCGCACAATATTCGAATTTTCAAACCTCCACGGCACGAGTAATTCAATTTCAAACAGAGCTCACTTTCTCAGATTGCGCCCGTAAAAGACACAGTGTTTTCGTTGGCAACACTGGCAGCTCTGACGTAACACCATGCAAAGAGAGTACGACAGCTCTTGACTGCTGGCTCAGTAAAATGACTTCGTTCTGAGAAAGACAAGATTTACGGTATTGAGGAAAGCTCAGTTCTACGACGATGATCTTTGTACAAACCACAAACCATGTTGACGAAAACCGGGAATAAGTCAACGTCCGCGACGCTGACGTTACCATGCCTGATGTGACGTCACTACCCGACTAGCCACGCGTACTTGCGACCTTTGGTGCGAACTTTCGTATTGATTTTTATAATTGATTAAACGAATATTGGGGCGTCTCTCAATGAAATGAATATCAGATCTGATTATATTTAGGCCATCTCTACGTGACTAGCGCAAAAACGATCCCTTTAACTTGTATCTGACTTTAGTACGGTAAACTGGACTCCGTTTCACGCCTTTTCCTCGGGCGCAGCCATCTTGAATGTCGTCACTTCGGGTATGCTGGAACGTTGGTATGCGGTAAAATATAGTTTTCACCTCTCCATGCCGCGCGAAGGTGTTTACGAAAAATACGTGATTGTCACAGATTCTTGTTTTGCCTCAGCTATGTTTTATCGCATATTGGATTTTGAAATGTTTCATTCTTTTTTTTTGTCCCGCATACCAGGTAAAGAACCCACGTGACTGAAAACGACAGGAAGCAGAAAACGCCTAAAGACAGCTGTTAAACCTACTGGCCCTAAAGCCCCTTCATGATTCAAAAGTACCCCAAGGAGCGTTGATGCAAAATGCATGTGCAACGTGCAGCCCTTGGGAAGCTCATGGCAGCACAGCGCAGCACTGAGCAAGATTTTAGATGCCATGTTCTTCCCAGAAGTGGCGCGCGGCACGTGTCTCGAGCATTTCCATAACAATGAATGGCACCACTTTCGGTTAGGGTGGTGGTGGTTAAACGTTTTTTTTTTTTTTTTTTATTGATGAAAGGGTTTTGTTGAGGTCTCTTGGTAACTAGCATCTAGCCTTCATTGGGATAGCTTTAGCTAGCCATAGAGTTCCTGTATAGGAACTCTAGGCCAGAGTTGCGCGTTCACCCCCGGAGCGCCGGCTTTTCTGCACGGCATGCGGAGTCTGCTCCTCACGTGACTGAATTCGGCGAATAGTGGCGCCGCGCGTGCGAGGCGCGCGGCGCGCTCAAAAGCAGGGGAACGTACGCCGGGGCGCGCGCGACCTCCTCTTTCCTGCGCGACACTTGATCCGGCTCCTTAGGTGATCGGATCTCGGCGAATAGCGGCGCGGCGGCACGTGGAAAACAGACGCGCAACTCTGGCTCCCGTAGGGAGCCTATAGGGAGTATTCACTGGTGGCCATAGCTGTGTGCGCGGATGCTGAGCGCGTGCTGATGGCGAGCTTGCACAGTTCCTTTGCAACGTGCATTCCACACCTTCAAGATTGCCGGTCTTAACAACATATTGGTGTGAGCTCGTTCTGAGCATGCGCACTAAACAGCACCCACAAATATGACGTCCATTGAATGCTCGCTATACAGGAACTCTAGCTGGCCCGAGCGCGTGGGGCCATCTATGATATCGTTTGCACTGGAACGCGCGCACATAATCTGAGAGATGAAACCTCGTGCTCGGGTGAGCAGCTTTGACAGCGTTGTAGTATGAAACAGAGTATAGAGTCAAACGCAAGTCAAGGGTGCCCTGAGGAGGTTTTCGAGACCGCCTAAATAGGACAATAACTCACTCTGTTGGCTCTATGCATCCTAGAATAATCCCTTGATCATAACGAGACGCGCCCGATTTTCCTATTAAGAAAGCAATCAAAGGTCTCAACACACCGAGGTCACCTCCGACGATGGGAGGAGCATGTTCCGAAAGATCACTCTAAGCTCGCGCCGTTTATTAGTGAAACCGCGGAGTGATATCTGGAATGCGCAAGGCTCGTTGCCCATTCAGCCCTGACTAAGACTCCACCCAGCGAGCGCCCGCTCGAGAGCTCACGACCGGACATCAATCCCGCAAAAGACACACACAAAAAAAAAAAAACAGATAGTGCGCTGTTTTGGAGACGATTGCTGCAGTACTATAAGTTCCCTCTCCGCAAAGAAATCACCATTTTTCGACTGCTCTTATTTGCTCTTATCATCTACAAAAGCACACACATTTTGGAATAACAGCGTTTGTATTCTCACGAAATGTCGCGTTTTCCTCTGTCACATGTCACCCTGTCTGCTAAATAATGTTCCTCCCACCGGCGAAGATTACCTCGGTGTGTTCGACCTTTGATTTTTTGTTGTTGTTTTTCTAATAGGGAAATCTGCAGCGCATCGTTACGATTTATGGATTTCTAGAATGCTTAGAGCAGGCAGAGGCAGTTATCGCCATAATTAGGCGATCTCAAAAACCTCCTCAGCTCCCCTTCAAGAACGCAATGGATGCTGTCGTAAGTAAGGTGTCCTCACTTCAGGTTACCGGTTTATTTGGGAAGCGGAAAGTTCACCCTGCCCATCGCGACAACGAGATGATCGGCAAGAATTTCGGGGATCAAGTCCGACATCGTCTCGTTCATTTTCAACCGGACAGCTTTCTCCAACTTTGGCCATTGAGGATGATGTGGCACCCGTGGCCCCAACTCTGTCAGGTGCACATCTACCTCATCCACAGACACCCTCACTTCTTCGGTCTGGTTTCCTGCGAGAGACGAGACACGCATTAAAACGAGACGGGGAAAGTTTGTCTGAAAACCCATTCATCGGAGTATACTCTGAACAAAGCGTATAACTGTGCGAGCAAAAACCGCTTCGCGTTTTGTCGCCGAGTGACGTGCCCATTACAACCGCCGTTTTCTTTTTGGGGTTCGCTGTTAGCGGCTGAACCGAACACGGACCGACAAAAAAAGCAACGCCACGGTCCCTTCACTACGGGATAGGCTTAGACGGTTATAAAAAAAATGTACACAAAAAGCGATCAGCGCCGCGACGATTTTACATATTTGCGTTGTTTCATTGCCCCCTCCGTATCGTATATAACATCGTCTACGGTCGGGCTTAAAATGAAACTGAGTACAAAGTGTAACAATGTAACGATAGGTTACCTCTCGCACATAAACCCTGCCCCCATCAAGAGAAGTAAGAAGGATTCAGATCAAAGCAGAATACCATTGAAATGACGAAATTCCACTTCGGCCTTTGAGTCGAGCAGGTTTGCCATCGCTCTGACATTCACTCTTCCCATTGTGATTTGGCTGAAGAAGTCGCCCTTGCGGTAGGATACTTCCAAACCTTGCAGCGCGACGTAGCACCTGATGTACGCCGATCCACCCAGTTTCACGGGACCCTCGCAGTCGCCCCAACGTTGGGAGCTGCCGTTGTTTAACAGTGTTCCGCCGGTCAAGGTAACCCTGAACTCCGGGTTTGAATGCCCATCAGCCTCCACTTTCGCTCGAAGATCTGGGACGGCGAAAGCATTCCCTTTCTTCCAGGTTCCCTCGGTTTCCAGCAGTACGTCCATGTACGAATTGGCTACCGGTGTCGCTGAGCCTGTCGCTGAGCCTGCAAGAAGACTGACGGAATTAAGACATGTAAACGTCATTTAAGACCCCCATCAGACATGCTTTAGACCTGAATGGATAGGTAAGTTCATTGATGGGACTGGATCCTTTTAATCGGGCGGCAGCTTGCGTCACCAAGACGCCGCTTTTGATTTCAACAATTAAATAATCCCGGATCAAAAATCTAAACAGTGCGGCTAATCATTTTAACAGTATACTTCTAAATTTGGAATTAATGGAGCATGCATGATAAAAGAAATTTCATATTGAGTAATTTGTTTCGAGTAATATTCTTTGATTAAGGATTGCCGTCTTGGTGATTGTCTCAAACTAGAAATGAGGGGTAGCCCGACGTGAAAATGCCCATCAAAACCAATCCGAACCATGTAATTGTACGCGGAGAGTAAGTCGTCTGGCTATTGCGGAAGAGTTGCGATGACGTCAGAAGGACGCCGAGCATTGATTGGTTATGATGGAAGGATAGTGGGTAGACCGCAATGATAGATGCCTTGAGGTCTACCCACAATTTTTTTTTTTCGAAAATCCTGTAGGGTTTGGCTTTCCGACATCATCGCAACCGCTGTGCAAGAATCAGACTAACTTGAGCTCCGCATGAGTTTTTATCAGTGCTTTTTATAATTTAAATGACCGCTGCTCAAGAAGCAAATTGTTAAAAAGGCGAAATAGGCGCAAAGGTTGGTCTCAGTGCAGGACGGTGCCCTCCGAAAATGGCGACAGCGCGAAGCGATGTCAGAGGAGGGGATTCATGCTTGCTCAAAGGCTTAGAGGGAAAAGCTCCATTTCTCCCAGCATCCTGACATCGCAACGCCAGCTACACGGGCCCCCCGCGTTCATTTGAAGCTACGGGTTAATAAATCGTGTATACCTATACATCTAGATGGCGTTGAGAATACTAACTTGTTTTTACTGAAAGTATTTAGTTGCGAAAAGGTCTATTGCGAACGAGACCGAAGTTTATGTTCATCAAATCTGTTCAAAGAAGTAACTGTTAGCTGTCTTACGCCTGCAACAACAAGTACGGTATGTGAAATTCAAATACACATTCAAACAACGTGCGTTGTGTTGAAAGACACATGGAACAACAGGGCAAGCAAACAACGCCATCTAAAGAAAGACAAGCATGTGTTACAAGCAACAAAAAACGAAACACATTTTTTTTTATGGAAGATAAAATACTTCACTGTGCATTCAAGCAAGAAAAAAACAGAACCGAATTCCCAGCCACATCTTGCAGGATATTCTATAAAGAAACAATCAAGATATGTCATCGGTACCTGATCAATCTCAACAGAGTGGTTAAGTATTTCAGTAGACCATTGCATATGTCGTAACGAAGAGCAAGGGTACCCCAGTATTTTTTAACATGGTATTATATCGCTATAATCACGGAGAGTTTAAGAAACTCACAGTGGGGCTTGGTGCTATTCACGTTTCATGGTTCGCTCTCCGGCGTTCATATCGCCAAATGCTGCACTCTGATTCGCTGCAGAGCATTAATGTATTAATGACTTACCTTGCCTCGCGTATCTTCAAATGTCGCTGACTTCAGCAATAAAAGTGCGATTGTAGCATCTGAAAAGAATGTCAATTACAAATTGATTTTGAAAGCAATAAGTGTAATATATTTGTTAACGGGCAATACCACATGCACACCGAGATGTCACAGCCATGCTCGGCTAAGGTCGTTCGTAGACAGGAATTGTGGGGCGGCGATTAAATACTTCGAACATTAAACGCAGTTGTCTTTGTGCAGCTCCTTAAAAGCCGACGTTCAAACTCCGTCTTCTGCAGGGAAGATAATCCATTTAGCGCTCTCCCCTCCTGAGCAGCGAGAGGAGTCAAGTTGGGGCTTCCTAAAAAGTGGAGAGGATATAGGAAAGGAGGAGACGGGCAAGAGTGAAAAGAGCGAAGTGTACGTCTGCCTTTAAGTTACTGTATTCGACATCACTGTCTAATGCTGAAATGTTTCTTTTAAAACTGGTTTCCTTTAAAAAAACAAAGAACAAAGACATTAGCTTGTTAAAAACGCGTAATTATGGGTGTTTTCAGATATAGGTGATCAAATATTACACATAGGTAAGGTCTGATACGAAGAACAGAGTTCAAAAGACCAATGTTTGATCAACATCAGTACGTTCGAGACATATCATGATCTCTCGCTTCCACTGAGTATTTATTCTCACAAATACTGTTTTCAATGACTAAATGTAAAGGTTTCTCAATCCTGCTCGGAGACTCAATTGAAAGCTCCTTAAGGCTCGTTCAAACAGTTACGTTGGACTGCATTTGACTGCGTCAAGACTGTTTGCGTCAAGCTGTTGCTATGGCGACCGTTGCGACGAGCCAATGGGGAGGCGCCGTGCTGCAGGACGCAACGCAGCAACGCGACGCGGTCGACGCAACTGTAAACCAGCCTTTAGGGCATTGCCCAAATAGTTAAATGTATGCTCTATGCTTCTGACGGGGGGGGGGGGGGGGGGGGGGGGGGGTAAGTCGCTTTAATTTAAAAAAAAATAAACTATTTCTTTTTAACTTTGTCCTACATGTTACATTGAAGCCACGCGATGCTATTTCTGACTCAAGAGAAATAGCCGAATTTTACGTCGTTGTTAAAGCATATCCGTTCCAATAGTGAGACATCAGTATACGTACCGTGTGGCTGTTACAATGTGCACTGAGCAATGTTACGCGGAAGCTGAGGCGGCTTTGAAAGATATATAATCAGGACAAAGTTCAGCTTGATATGCAGTATCTTATCATGCGTTATTTTAAAACATTTCGCAATGATTTCGCAATGGAGACGTTGGAGACGGTTCTGATAATACATTTACCTTTCATGTCAGCGACAAAGAAAGACGGGAGGCTTACTCAAGCGACAGTCACAGCGAAGCAATATTGACCATTACAGTGAAAATGCCTGTACGTGCACCAGACACTTTGGTTTTGTAAGGGGGAAAATAGTTTGTTTGTTTTTTGTAGTATGACTATAGTCGGTGACAGACTAAAGGGTTAGGGGAGTCTCCTTCCATGCCTTTCCACTTTAGGGGAGCGAACGCTGGAGAGGAAATTGCTTCCTCTCTAGCGTTCGCTCTGCTACAGTGGAAACAAGTAGGAGGTTCCCCTGAACTCTTAACCTGTCACTAATTATAGTTACTGAAGACGAAGAATTGGTCGTACCTTGGCGAAAAGAACCTCTACTTGCTTCCGACTTCCCTGACTGGCTCCAAAACGATTTCCTCCAATGAATGAACTATTTACAACAGGCAACAAAATTACCGCCAACTTAGGTATACAAAAGGTTAAGAATCCAAACTTCGCAAAAAGCCCGCGTACGGAATGCCGTTTCACAGCCGGTGCATGACCTTCCATACAGTCCGCCCGAGAAGTTGGCGTACTCGATTTCACGCCGGCTCTAGCTCCTTTCCAAAGTCCATCAAGCGACATTCGCGGTTGCCGCTATTTCTTGGGCATGAAGCGTGTGATTGGATCCGGGTCCTCCCCGAACGCTGACGTCACACTCGTTCTCGATGCGAGCTGAGCCGAGTTCACGCCGAGCGCTAAAGCAGACTTTCTGTCCAGTTCATGCTCAGAGTAGGTGACCAAGCAATGGCGGACAGGCCTTGGCGCAGACTTTTGAAAATGAGCCTATGGCCGAGTTTCCCGCAATCGCGCTGACGAACGAATCGCGAAGCAAGGAGCGTGAAAATACTAGCAAGTCCTACCCCCTACGTTTCTTCAGCTGTCGCTGTTTGTAAACGAATTGATAAAGCTCTAGGGCTGGCTAACTCCCGTCAACGGCTTGTAAAGATGGCGAGCGATCGCACTTTTATTGAATCTCAGCGCTCTCTTGAGCCGCTGAAAATTTGAATATATATAAGGTGTCTCAAGTCACCAGGCTCGATCTAAAAAAGACCGTGACCATCGACGCGTGCACGTAGCAATATAAACTTTTTGCCAAACGTGTATTTCAGAGGTCGTGTTTTTCTTGTAAAATTACAAAGCGTAGCCCTCTCTCTGTAAAACCTAGGGCCAAGAAACTTGCCAGGGTCAATGACCAGCGGCGACGTAGACGACCAAGTCGAGTAGCGGGGCCTGTTTGGAACTCGTATTGATAGATGGCGCTACTTCCTTGTCGAGACTGTTCGCGACTGCCGTGGTCTATTAAAATTAACATACTATTTTTGTAATGTACCTTTAGTTAAATAATATATGCCGACAATAACAGCCAAACTGAAAGGAAAAAAAAAACGATTTTGCATAACGACGGCGCATTTGCTGCCAACGGATTTCGTCTGCGTGTCGTCTGCTTTCTTTCACTGGTCGGCTACACCATCGGACGCTGCTCCCAACGCCATCTATCAATACGCGCGCCAAACGCACCCCGCAACTCGACTCGGTAGTCTGCGTCGCCTTTCGCCGTTGACACTGGCAAGTTTTTTGGCCCAATGTTTTACACAAATTGAGCTACGCTTTTAAATTTTGACAAGAAAAAACCGACCTGTTAACTACCCCTCTCGCGAAAAGTTTAGATTGCTACTTGCAGGCGTCGATTTTTAGGGTTCATTTCAGATCGAGCCTGGTGACTTGGAACACCCTTTACTACTTTCAAGACACGAAGCGCCGCCCAACGTCACCGAAAAATGTTCTGGGAACTCGTTATACAGAAACAACTACAGAAGACGACAAATTGTGTTGTATAGTCACCGACAACATTAAGAAACACACGGCGGGAAGAGTACAGAGCATTTTCTTATCGCAGTCAATGGTATTGCGGGATTTGTCGATTAGAAAACTCGTGAGGCAATCACAAAGCGGGAAGCGGGAATTTAGTAAGCCACTCCCTGCTTTCCTTATTAAGTTTCAGTGATTATAATACGCAAGTATAGTAAGTATAGTTTAACTCTGAGTACGCTGACTATACTCTTATTTTAGATTAGAC